TCAGCTGAATAAAATGGGTTTAAAGAAGTGTGTTGATATTAGTACCAATAACTGCAGTTTAATGGTATCAGAAGTTTTTGGAATTATATGTCAAATTATGAGGATGCACCTAATGCTCGTGAATGTTCAAAGTACAATTATTTACTTAATATTTCGATTTCTAAGTCATCTCAAGTACAAAGTATAAGAAATCTTGCAGGAGTAATTAAAGACGTGGTTTTACTTTTCTCAAAATCGGCAAAAGGCACTGCAGTTGTAAAAAAATATACTAATCATAAGTTAACTTCTTTATGTGAAATAAGTTGAATTGAATCAGGAGTTATGAAATTTGTAAACATCATGCCAAAAATAATTGATGCAATAACTGAAATAAAATTGTAGAAAAATTTACAAACATTTGGAAAAGCAAAAACACTAGCAACATGTTGCAACAACTCTATGCGATACTAATTTTATCATTTCTATTTTCAGATTTTAAAGCCTTATTTTCTGACAACGTCGTCTCAATTAGTGAGTTCAATATTTGGAAAGAATAGTGAATCTGTGAACAAAAAGAAAATTCCTCAGTAACTAATATGTATGCTGTTGACATTTTACAAAAACGCCAAAAAGAAGTTTTTCCAATAATAAATAAGATAATTAACACTTTGCTTGGCAGTAATTCTATTTCTGAAAGATTGTTCTCTTCATTAAAATGCCTTAAAACTTAGTTAAGATCGACCACGTTTAAAACATGCATGATTGGTCTGACACTATTAAATATTCACAGGGAAAAAGAATTGGATATTGAAAATCTTATCCACAGGTTCTCTAAATATAATAGAAAATTACCATTTGTTGTTTAACATTTGTATAAAAATAGTTTTGTTATTTTATGTTAAGCTTAAAATGATTTTTATTTAATTTTTTAAGGTTTTTTTTATTCACCTAAAAGTTTATATTCATCCAGTTTTACGATATTTTGTTAATTCAAATTTTCTGCGATAAACCGTTTTTTATTATTTTTATCATTGAATTAAAATTTAATATCATAGTTCTCCATTATAATAACTTCAACGTGGACTGAAAGGAAAACGTATCAGTGGTTAATACAACCCTCAACCACAAAAACAATTTGTACCGCCTTTTTAACATTTTTTTAAATTTTAGAAGCTTAAATTACATTTTATTAAGAGAAAAAGTGAATTAAGGGATACCTTTTTGTCACGTTACAAACTCTGTAATATTATCAATAAATAATTATTCTATCAATAATATATATAGTCACAGTTCAGTGGCGCCGCAACCGGAGGAGAAGTAGGTACCTCGGTCAAAATACGAAGAGGCAAAGGTATCATTATGCCCTACTAACAGAAACTAACAAAAAAGTTATGACTATAAAATAACTTATTATTGTTTGGGGTAAATTAAAAAAAATTTTTTTTAATAATTACATTAAAATAAAATCGTTTATTATCGATTTCAGATTTTGTGAGTATCCCAATATTATATTTATTGTTATTATATTATCACTAGCAATTAAGTTCTTCATTAGGACAACACTCCAAAATACTTTTATCAATTATCATTGATCATATCATAAATCTTATAAACATGGATTCTTTATCAGTGAAAACTATGGTGGTAGTAAATTGAGGATATTTGTTTGCATTATTACACGATAACATTTTATTTTTTATTATTTAATGGTTAGTAATAAGTCATTAGTATGAGTTATGGCCACTATAAACATAATCTTAGTAGAAAAATTACTGAAAAATTTACTACTAAGTGTTCAAATATTATATTTTTGCTAAAATTATGTGTGTGGTCTGTAACAGCTGATCGGTTGGGAGATAGTGGTATCCGTTATTATGTTTGTAGTTTTGAATGGGTGAACGTGAGAGAATAAACTGGTTCGAGCACGCGTATTAACCGCATACACACAGCAGTAGCGGTAATACACACCATTATGTCGCGGCCACAACAAATACCATTTATCAAACTGCTAGTGGGGCCACAAGAGGGAGGGCTAAAGTTAAAAGCGGCGAGTATACTCCAGAAGAACATTGTTGGAAAATGGTATCTCAGCGTCATACGCTGGACCAATGTAAAGCCCAGTTAGACTCTGATAAGAAAGGTGCGTGGACTCAAACAATCAATCGAGACTTGTGCAGTTAGGTAGAAAGTTCACATAACCAAATATACTTTTATTTGTCATGATTGTTTTAAGATCTACTTAAAAAAAACGCAGCACAGGGGGTCGCGGCACAGTGGTGAAGTGGCATAGTTAGATCAAGTATAATGATATCCGACAGTGATTAAAATCACTATAAAAAAAAAACGATTCGATGCAAATCTTTAGATAGTGATTAATTTTAAAAATTAAGATAAAGTATGTCTAATGAAAAAGGGATTATTAAAAAATATTATTTCTCATAAAAGAATTGTATTGATCCATATATTTTTCAAAAAGTTATAGCATAATAAAGTTAAAAATGTAAAAAATAAAATCGAGAATTTTCACACAAAAATAGCATTTTTTTTCCATAATAAAGTACATTACATTAGCTTTAATTTAAGATATATATAAAAGTGTCAGACCTTCCGGAACAATTTCAAAAATTAAGTTGAAAAAGTTGTCATTTTGAATCCACCCCTGTGGGCAGGTTAAGAGTGATATTTACAAAATAAATATACCAAATGATAGGTAAAGACATCAAGCATCTATGAAAAAAAAATTATATTGATATGTTCATTTTTTAATAAGTTACGGCAGTTTTTAGTGAAAAAAATTGAAAAAATTTCTAAAATTAACGATTTTTAAATTTGTAATTTTTTTGGAGGTTTCCCCAATTTACGGGAAACGAGGGAAATTTTTTCACTTTTTGAGGGTAATTTCTTCGACTAGATACGATTTGTGATCTTTTGACGTATCGTTGAAAAAAATCCGTTTTGTGAGAGCTGAGTAAAAGTGGTAATAGCACAAAAAAAGAAAAACACATCATAGTAAAACAAATACCTTCTCAGCTTCGCATCGAAGCTAAAATAAAGAGCTCTAGTGGAAGAAACCGCCCACACAATAGTATACTGACCAGCGTGGTATGTGTAAAGATTACAGCTTATCAATGATATTGGACTTCTAATCTCACCTATGTTTGTAAAAATACAGGCCTTCAAGATTTTTTTATTTTTGGGAACAATAAAAGTCAAGCTGGGCCATGTCTGGCGAATATATGGATACTAGGGCGTTATTAAATTGTTGTATTTTTTTTCAAAAATTCACGAGCGAGAAACTTTGTTCATAACACTTTTGAAACAAATTTTGCTGCTACACGTTTCATACTAAAACAGATGACAAAATATAACGGTATGAGCCAATAAATATATTAAAATCAACAGAATCTACTCTAACAGATATTCTAAAATCTTTCATGATCATTTCTTCCACTTTTTCAAGTTTTCATCGGAAAAGTAGTATTTAACATTTTTAAAATTTTGTTGCACTTCATTCCATTTTTATACCAATAATTAATATAAATTTTCTAATCCATAAAATATTGTCGACTGTTTCATACGTGTTATTCTTTTAACTGCTGACGAATGACTCAAACAGATTACTTAGATACTTAAAGTTAATATATACTTTTAAGTCATGTTTGCCAATACAATAACAAAAATCGGCAAAATTTTTAAATTCCCGATACTTTTTTTAATCTTATACTATTTATTATATATTGGAGGCATTATGAATATTTTAAAGCTCCCTAACAATAAAGAATAAAAATTAGGTGTTTATTGTAGCATTAATAAGGGTTTATTGTTATCAAAATAAACCCAACCCAACCCAACCAAACCTAGGGGAAAAAATGCTCCAGTGCTAGATTCGTCAAATTAATTTAAAAATTATAATCTATAAAAGATAATATTAATTTTATAGTAATATCTTTAAGTCTTTTAATTTGAATATTAAATATAATTTATATTTAAATAATGTGATATCCTGTATTTATATCATTTATGCATATCATGATCCCGTGTTTTCTTTTTTATTAACTAAGAAATGCAAATTTTCAAAATCAATGAAACATTATATCTATATATGGCACCTAAGTCTAAAACAAATAAACACTCCCATTTTTAATAATTAAAAATTGAATCAAATAATACAATTTTTCATTAATTTTTTGAAATAATAACTTNTCCTGTATGCAGATTTAGGGTCAGATTTATAAAAAAATATACCAAATCATAGTTAAAGACATCAAACATCCATAAAAAAAAGAATTATATTGATCCATACATCTTTCAAAAAGTTATAGCATTATAACCAGTTATTTATTTGTTTAACATTATTATTTTCTATAAGCTTTTATAAAATTGTTCTATTATGTATTAACAGTACGTAATTAACATGTGCTACCATAGTTAAATAAAATAAAAAATAAAATCAAGAATTTTCACACAATAATAACATTTGGTAGCCATTTTCACCGTGAAGATAAAATAAAGTCCGAAATTTTTTTTTGCATAATAAAGTATATTACATTAGCTTTAATTTAAGATATATATAAAAGTGTCAGACCTTCCGGAACATTTTCAAAAGTTAAGTTAAAAAAGTTATTTTTTTGTGAAAAAATTGTCATTTTAAATCTCCCCTTGTGGGCAGGTTAAGGGTTAAATTTATGAAAAAAATATACCAAACGAAAGGTAATGATATTACACATTTATATAAAAAAGAATTATATTGATATGTTCATTTTTGAAAAAGTTATGGTACTTTTAAGTAAAAAAAATTGAAAAAATTTGAAAATTAGAGGTTTTTAAATTTGTAATATTTTTGGAGATTTCTCCCATTTATGGGGAACGACGGAAATTTTTTCAATTTTTGAGGGTAATGTCTTCGACTAGATACGATTTGTGATCTTTTGACGTATCATTGAAAGAAATTGGTTCGGTGAGAGCTCAGAAAAAGTGGTAACAGACACACAAAAAAAAAAAAAAAAAAAAACACATCTTAGTAAAACCAATATCTTCTCAGCTTCGCATCGAAGCTAAAAAGAATTTAATTATGAATACAATGAAAATTTAAAATATGTCATAATTAGTTATTAAAATAAGAAATATTTCAATAAATTTTATGAAAACCAAGATTTTTAAGTTCAACGTTGTTAAAATTTTCACAATACTTGGTCAGTTCCACACAAGCTTGTTGACAGTATGTAATCGAATCATTAATTTCAGTATTGTTCAACTCAGCAACATTTTTCTTGATCATTTTTATAAAATTTCTTTGATCAAATCTGGGATTTGATTCAAATATACAACTCACTAATCGTTTTCGTTTCGAGTCGCATAACTTACTTGACAACATATTTCTTACTAGTTTTATATCAGATAGATATTTGTGTACTATTATTTCCATATCAGAATTCTCTATATGAAAAAAATCATCACGTAGTAAAGATTTTTTATTTAACAAAACAAAATAATCATTTATCAATTTTTCTATGGGTGATAATAATGAATCTGCTTGTTTTTGAGACCAAATCGACGATTTCTTTAAATTCATTATGGCTGTATTTATATTATTAAAAAATTCCTGAGTCCTTTTAACAGTATCAAAAAATTTATATACCGATTCAACATATTTAACATGATTAATTGCAAACTCTAAATCTTTTTTCTCTTCGCCAAATAATTGTAAGATTACAGTTAAATAAGAAGTGTATTCTGTTAATACTTCTAAAATCTTACACCTGAATAAAACTATGATATATATTTTTTTGAGATGAAAGTTATAATTATCAACTGGATCTCTGAGAACACGGCTCAAACTAATTGTTTGATAGGATTCCTGTATTGATATACCAGTCAAAGAATCCCAATTAATCTCATCAATAAGTATATTCATAGCTGCTATTCGTTGTCCTGGATTGTTTGGATCATCTAGTGGTGGTACGAGTGACGGAATACTGTAAAATAAATTTATCGATTAAGAAAATGTTATTAATGTTTAGAATAAACCATTACAAATATTAGTTGCTATTAATGTTACCATGCAGAGTATTAGCTTCAATGCGAAGCTTAATATGTATATTATAAAAATTGATCACTTGTGGCTAATATTACTTAAAATTAAAACTATATTAAAAATATTATTAATATAAAAGTTAAAGCAGTGCGTATTACTAGTACGCGCGAACGAAGTAAAACTTCTTTCTTTATGAAGATATTGGGTTGGGTCTATTGTGGTTCTTTAAAAAATTTTTATGCACAATCAAAATTATTTTATGCATTTTAAATAAAATTACTTTAATTTTCGAAAATACAATACTAAATTATAATATAAAATATACTTCACGTTACGTTTAACACATACTGACAATCTGACCTGAAAAACCCTCTTATATTCCCTTAGTGACTTTATAACCTAGTGACTTATCACTAAGTAATATTATCACATTTCGACAGTTTACACAAGTTTAATAATGAGTTTTTCAGTGGACTCGTATACCAATTAATAAAATTATTCTTATTTTTAAACATTTCTATTGCCTTCCTTGTATTATGTTCTTTGTATTTATTTACAATTTTAATTAGTTTTATGATTTTAATGGAGTGACTATGTGTCAGTTAATTGTTCAGCCACCGGAGTTTTATCAACTTCTTGATTTTTTATGTTTCTTATGTGCTTTTTAAACCTGACCTCTATACTTCTTCTTGTTTTTTCTACATTATATTTATTACAATTTTCATATTGTATTTTATAAATGCCCAAATTCCTCCCTTCTTCTACTTTATCTATAGGATTACTTGATAAATCTCTTAAATTATTACTTTTAGATGTTACTAAAGTAATACCAAAATTCTTAAAAATTCTAGCTGGTCCATTTAAGGTGCCCGGATAATATACAGGGTGATTTTTTTATCATAACCCACTCAATTACTTACAGAATAATAATAATTTATACATTTTTTTTTATTATTATCTTTAGTTACACATTATTCTTGAATTATTAACTATGTAATACTTTTTAAGTTCATCCCTTATGCCTGGTAAGGGTGTCAACTTTGTTTTTTTAAATGGCAACACGTATTTTTAATTTAATAAAATGTTTGAGTTTTTAATTCAATAGTAAATGGCATTTGAATTTTTAATAAAACTTAATTTGTTTATTAGATATAAACATTTAAAGTTTCAAATTTTTGAGTTAATATATAGGTATAATACACAAGGGATTACAAATACAGGTAGCTAATTGGTTTTTTATGATATTGCTATCACAGTCACGGATTGTTTATTATCAATTATGACTATCAATAGATATACTTTTTGTATTGTCAGTTAGTGTATTTATAAACTCACAACAATGTACCTTACTATCATTGATAATAACAATGCTGTGTATCTGCTAATATCGATGTCATAAAAAATGAATTAGCTACCTGTATTTATAATCCCTTGTGTATTATACCTATATATTAACTCAAAAATTTGAAACTTTAAATGTTTATATCTAATAAACAAATTAAGTTTCATTAAAAATTCAAATGCCATTTACTATTCAATTAAAAACTCAAACATTTTATTAAATTAAAAATACGTGTTGCCATTTAAAAAAACAAAGTTGACACCCTTACCAGGCATAAGGGATGAACTTAAAAAGTATTACATAGTTAATAATTCAAGAATAATGTGTAACTAAAGATAATAATAAAAAAAAAATTTTAAATTATTATTATTCTGTAAGTAATTGAGTGGGTTATGATAAAAAAATCATCCTGTATAGTGAGTGATCTAATTTCTTTTTGTTAATATGCTAGTTAGTGTATTAGCCGCCTTCCTTTCTTTATTTCATTTTTCTGTTCAGACTAATTTTGAAACTACGTTCTCATTATACCCATTAAATCTAGTTATTTCTCTTATACCCCCAAGTTCTCAATAGTATCAAAATCTATTTTATTCGACGGAATATTAACTAATCTGTATACTATACTATTAAAAGCTGCCTATTTGTGTTGCCAGCTATGGTTCGAATTGTTTGGAATGTTTTTTAATTGATTAAATGAAATAATTTTTTGAAATCGAAAAACATTAACTTAAAGATAATCAAAAAAATATAGATATTAACTTATTTAAATTGTTGTAAATTTTATAAAGGCAGACAAAACTTCATAAAATGTTAATAAGGTATATAAGACAGTGACCTTTTTTTAAAATGTGATCTTTAGTAATTGACTCTTAAAAGTAAAAACTAGGGTTGAAGTGTGGATATTGTTATTTTATAATTAGATATAAACTGCACTCTTCCTTCTACTTAAATATGAAAGTTTAAAATGATACAGTACTGTGTATTTCTCAGTTGCACGTCTTGTTATCAACCTATATAGAAGTATATGAGATTTTGAATCATAATATGCTTTGCCCTTGAGATAAGGTGTGTCTCTAAAAAACCTTAGGCCATGGATTTAATCCCATACCGTGTTTCATATTTTTACATGATTTGTGATACAATTTCGATGTCCGGCCGTAGCATAATACGAGAGGAACGATTTTTATTTTAGAGGGTTGTGGTTCTTTTATATACCCATAACTAAAATTCTATTGAATATACATTATTGAGAGTTTAATAATAAACAAGAATTATATTGTTCATTAGTGTTCTCAGGATGAATAAAACTGTTCTGAAACTTAGTTATAAAATAAATAATAACTTATACAAAATATTGATTTTTAGCATTTATAAATAAAAAAAATAATAACCTTAATATTCTATTATTTTATTATATGTAGTCTTAATTTAATTATCTTAATAACTTATATTAATTATTTNGATATTAACTTATTTAAATTGTTGTAAATTTTATAAAGGCAGACAAAACTTCATAAAATGTTAATAAGGTATATAAGACAGTGACCTTTTTTTAAAATGTGATCTTTAGTAATTGACTCTTAAAAGTAAAAACTAGGGTTGAAGTGTGGATATTGTTATTTTATAATTAGATATAAACTGCACTCTTCCTTCTACTTAAATATGAAAGTTTAAAATGATACAGTACTGTGTATTTCTCAGTTGCACGTCTTGTTATCAACCTATATAGAAGTATATGAGATTTTGAATCATAATATGCTTTGCCCTTGAGATAAGGTGTGTCTCTAAAAAACCTTAGGCCATGGATTTAATCCCATACCGTGTTTCATATTTTTACATGATTTGTGATACAATTTCGATGTCCGGCCGTAGCATAATACGAGAGGAACGATTTTTATTTTAGAGGGTTGTGGTTCTTTTATATACCCATAACTAAAATTCTATTGAATATACATTATTGAGAGTTTAATAATAAACAAGAATTATATTGTTCATTAGTGTTCTCAGGATGAATAAAACTGTTCTGAAACTTAGTTATAAAATAAATAATAACTTATACAAAATATTGATTTTTAGCATTTATAAATAAAAAAAATAATAACCTTAATATTCTATTATTTTATTATATGTAGTCTTAATTTAATTATCTTAATAACTTATATTAATTATTTTATAGTAATTTTACGTTCAAAACTATAATTCTCACTTATTTATCGCAGGAAAAAGTAATAAATTAAATCCAAATTCATCAAATCCATTTCTTGCAATATGGTCATAAACTGTATCGAGTTCGTGTAAAATAAATTCATTATAACTCGAGAATTTATTTGAACAGGTTTTGTATTCCATATCAAGTATTTGTTCAATATTAATTCGGTAGGAAAAATTTACTAAAATATTATTTTTCAATTTATTGATAAATACCATTCTAGTTACCTCATTTGCGAAATTTGTTATATTGGATAAAACTGTTACTGCTGTAGTTTTGACTAAATCTCCTCTTTGGGTCTTATAATATGACCAATTTGTTAATATTATGGAACTTACGAATTGTTTGATAAAATATATTTCATCAACTATAACAAAAGGATTTCCTTCAATTTTAGGAAATGCATATTTTAAATCTAAAGAACTGATAAACGTTGTTGCTTTATACAATTTGTCAAATAAAATTGTAGATTTTTTTACACTATTCTCAAGTAATTCAGAATAAACAATCAATTTATTAAATAAATAATCGGCAGAATACCTTTCACACTTGTTTATAATGATTCTAAGAAACTCTAGAAATGATCTTATAATTTCAATATATACATTGTTCAGTAAAACAATTATTAAAGTTAATACATCTAAAAGATTTGTATTGCTAATTTTTTTTGCCAAAACTTTTTCAACATGTATACCATCGGACGAATTTAATTTCAGTTCAAAATTATTTAGACAATTCCAACCCTTTTGTACACGTATTAAATTTACTACTTGAGTTAGATATGTTACATATTCTCTTTTTTCATTCTTAAAATTCACCGTAGATAAAAATCCAAAACATAATTGACTTAAAAATACAAATATAAAAATCGCACTATACATTTTTTAATTATTAATCATTCAGTTATAACTAATTTATAAACTTGTATGAATTAAATAAAATAATATTATAATATAGTCAAGAAACAGCATATTACAGTAGACTGTACTATTCCTTTAATTTAATGTTATATTTAATTATATTAGATTTGCCAATAAAAAAAGACAATGCAAATAATAATGTCTGTTAATTTGAATAATTTAGAACTTTTATTGCAAACATCATAAAAACAAAGAAATCAAGTTTACTAAAAATAACTGAATAAAATTAAATTGGAATTTTTTATTTGGTTTGCTAATTAAAATTAATTTTAGTATTATTTTTTGTTAAGTGACGTTACTAGAATTTTTAACACCGGTTTAAAAAATAAATAATATGCCCTCACCATCAATGGTTAATTATCATAAAATTGTATAATATAAAAATATAATAACATGTATTAGTTATTACATGTTATTAAATTATGCATAATTATGTAAGATTTAATAGTGTGTGTTTACTTGTAATTTATATTCATGATACTTTTGCTTTGAACTGAAAAATACATAAAATAAAAAAAATACTTAATACAGTTTTTAATGAAAATAACAGTAAGATAGTAATAATAATACCTTATCTAAGAGAATAATACATTGTTTGGAAAGAACATATTTCATGAGTTTCATTTCATTTTAATGAAATGCATTTATATATGCACTCGCTTTATTTTATGACAAAGTTATTTAAAACCAATAAAACTTTGTCGTATAAAAAATTGTTTTCAATTTAGTATTTTTACTTAAAACTTTCATAACTTTTTGATGGATGAATCATGAATCAAAACAAAACTTTTGTTTATAAACACCTTAGTTATTTTTCTTTTATTTGATATAATTTTTTGAGAAACTTGACTCCATTAGGGAAATTCAAAATAATATATATTTGTAAAATAAAGTTTAAGAAAAAGTTGACAGAGAAAACATACTTAAGTACTATTAATAGTTAACTATTTTTGGAGAAAAGCTAAAACAGTCTAATATTAATAATGCCTGTCAAGCTTAAGGTACGAACTTCAAACCTATCTGTGGCAATGCATTTTTTTCATTATTATTAGCTTTGATTTCGATGTGTCTGTTACCACATTTTCTCAGGTCTCACCGAACAGATTTCTTTCAACGATACGTCAAAAGGTCACAAATCATATCAAGTCGAAGACATTACACTTAAAAATTGAAAAAATTTCCCTCGTTCCCCATAAATGGGAGAAATCTCCAAAAATATTACAAATTTAAAAACCTCTAATTTTCGAAATTTTTTCAATTTTAATTACTTAAAACTGCCATAACTTTTTCAAAACTGAACAAATCAATAAAATTTTTTTTTATAGATGCATTATGTTCTTAAACATCATTTGATATATTTTTTTTATAAATTTAACCCGTTACCTGCCCACAGAGGGGGATACAAAATGACAACTTTATCACAAAAAATTAACTTTTTCAACTTTTTAAAGTGTTCTAGAAATACTGACACTTCTGTATATACCTTAAATTAAAGCTTATGTAATATACTTAATTATGAAAAAAAAAAATTTGGACTTTATTTTGTCTTCACGGTGAAAATGGTTACCGTATGCTATTTTTGTGTTAAACTTCTCGACTTTATATTTTACATTTTTAAATTTAAAATGCTATAACTTTTCGAAAAATGTATGGATCATTATAATTTTTTTAAGAGAAATAATATTTATATATTTCTTTCATTCGATATACTTTTTTTTTAAATCGGACCATTCTCTTCATGCAAAGGGGGTTCAAACTTAAAAATGCATATAGAAAGGAGAACTTTTTGAACTTAATTTTTGTAAGTGTTTCAGAAATACTGACACTTTTATATATATTTTAAATTAAAGCTTATGTAATATACTTTATTATGGAAAAAAAAATTAAGACTTTATTTTGTCTTCATGGTGAAAACAGACATCAAAGTTAATATAAAAAACGGTAGCACAGTGCGATCGAGGCACAGTGTAGACAAGGCATAGATGGGACAAGTATAGATGATATCTGACAGTGATTAAAATCACTATCATAAGAAACGCTTCGATGCAAATCTGTAGATAGTGTTTCATTTAGAGAAATTGGTGGATTATTCCAAAAGCAACATCAACTCTTATTTCTTTGATTATATCCTAATTAGTAGTTTTTTGATTTTAAAATATAATATATGAATAAATACTTATTATAATTATTAAATTTAGTATGAAATTGATATTCAATAATTTAATATTATAAAAATAATAAAGAAGTTGTATTTTGCTTTATTTTTACGTGTATAAAAATTTAAAGGGCTTGATACAATAAATTTCAATAAAATCTCTGTTTGTTACTATAAATAAATGCACTGAACTACAAGGAACTTTCATCAGTAGCAAAAATATACCATTCTAAATCAACTTTTCGCGATGTTTTCAAATCTGCAATTAGACTTTTTCTATCACTTCTAAGTTTAAATATTATTAAAAATTAGTATTTACATATAAAAAATTCGCATCGAAGCTAAAAAATTGGCTATTTAAACTAACTCAAATTTAAAATTTACTTTTTCGACTTTAAAAAAGTAAAAAAACCCAGCACAGTGGGATCGCGGCACAGTGGTGACGTATCATAGTTGGATCAAGCATAATGATATCTGACAGTGATTAAAATCACTATAAAAAAAAAAACGCTTGGATGCAAATCTTTAGATAGTGTTTCATTTTAAAAAAATTGGTGGATTATTCCAAAAGCTACATGATCTGCTAGTTCTTTATTAATATCCTAATTAAGATAAAGTATGTCGAATGAAAAAGGTATTATTAAAAAATATTATTTCTCATAAAAAAATTATGTTGATCCATACACTTTTCAATATGTCATAGCATTATAAAGTTAAAAATGTAAAATACAAAATGGAGAATTTTTACACAAAAATAGCATTTGGTAGCCATTTTCACCGTGAAGACCAAATAAAGTCCGAAATTTTTTTTTCCCATAATAAAGTATATTATATTAGCTTTAATTTAAGATATATATAAAAGTATCAGTATTTTCAAAAGTTAAGTTGAAAAAGTACATTTTTTGTAAAAAAGTTGTCATATTGAATACCCTCCTGTATGCAGATTTAGGGTCAGATTTATAAAAAAATATACCAAATCATAGTTAAAGACATCAAACATCCATAAAAAAAAGAATTATATTGATCCATACATCTTTCAAAAAGTTATAGCATTATAACCAGTTATTTATTTGTTTAACATTATTATTTTCTATAAGCTTTTATAAAATTGTTCTATTATGTATTAACAGTACGTAATTAACATGTGCTACCATAGTTTCGAATGTTTTTAATTCAATATAAATACTTTCATTACTTTTAAGTCTACTTTAAAGTGTATTTATATGATAGATTTGAAACTGAATACCATTAATCTTAAAAGAGATAAAAAATACAATGAGTTTAAAAAGAAGTAACAGTTATTCTGACATAACTGGTAATGCAACATTACAGTGCTTGGCTAGTGGCATTAACTATTCTATTGGAGAGACTGAGGTAGATTTTTTCTTTAAGAAATAAACTCAATTTAAGTATTAAGATGAACTTATTAAAAATACATATATTTTAATATGAAAATAATATCTATATTAATCTTTAAGCCATCTTAACTTTGTTTTATATTTTACAATATACTTTATTTTTCTTTAAAATGGTTAAATTGATATATTATAACTCTTCAGTTTGTTATTGGACGTTCTCTTGCCTATTTACTTGTAATTGAAGAAAAATCTATAGCACGACGACATTGTTTTATAAATAAATCCAATGGCCAATATCTTATTTCTCACAGTGTAAGACTTAACATTTTTATTGCATGTTTATATTAATTTAGCTATCAAAGAGAATAATTAATTCTATGTTGATCAACAATATCTGTATTACAGGGAACAGGCAATGAAACTTATGTAAATTGTGTGAAAATTCCTAATAACAAAAATGATTATCAAGTTTTAAATCACGGAGATGTTATTTCCTTTGAAGATGGGAGTGGAAGTTATAAATATCTGTACAGATTTGTTTTACAAACAAATACAGATAAAAAATTGAAGTAAGATTATTCTTAAGACATCACGTCTGTAAGTAATTTGTAGAACATGGATAAACAATACACTAATATAATCAAATCTATTATTCATTTTATTAAACGCCATCAAATAAATTGATTAATATAAACACTATATCTAAATCAAAATTACCTGAAAAATATTATTTTAATTCATTCTTTTAATATATGTCCGTTATTTTTATTATAAACTTTCTAATCGCTTAATATGATAGTTACAAAGAGTATGAACAATATTTGTTTATAAAACTTTAAATATAGATTTTACATTTAATATTGTTAAAAAATGAAAACAATTATTCCTTTTTAAATTTTAACTTTTAAANTAATTCCTTTTTAAATTTTAACTTTCAAACTATGACAAGACTTACGTAACAAAAAAGGTGGTCGACTCTGGTTTTGAGGGTAGAGACCCGTGGGCCGTTTATTAAATGAGCGACAACAGATTATTTTAACAAAAATAAAACAAACCGAAAAGATAAACACAGTAATAATAATCTTCGCATAATATCGCGGCACTTTTGATAGCGTCGAAGACGCGATGTCCGGCGTGATCTTTGGGCGACAACAGGTTAGCAGCGTTGTAGGCGATGGTGCGCGGGTGCGGATCGGTTGGGTCGACGCTGTCGCTTTCACAACGGGAGGAAGACTCCCCCATCATTTGCGGCGGGTCGTCGTCGGCTGTGCGTCATTTGCAATTTGTCATTTGCAATTTGCACCGTAACGTATAACACGCGGTGTTGGTCAGTCAAATACTCATAGTAGGGCGACGGCTGATAAAGGTGGCACGAGTTTTTATAGTTAACGCAATTTGTAATCTTGAACCATAAAAGATAATAGGACGAAAATATATAACACAATGTTACGCCTGACTGGCACTGCACAAACACAGCGAGATATAACACGGTAGTTAGTGCCGAAACCAAAGGTCTGTGCTCGCCGTTCGTTAATGATTAACAACACGTTACACGACTGATTACGAAGCAAACCGATGAGGTCCGAGAGGCAAACTTTTTTGATTCAGTTGCTATACTGGATTATTACGATTGATTGGTGAGGGAGAGTCGTGAATACTTGGTAAAATGAGGCTAATGTAAATTTTCCTCAGCGGTGAACACCATTGTGTGCCAGGTGGTTTCAAATGCGAAACGACATTTTATTAAATGGAATCGATTTATATTTATTGTTCCTAATCTATGCTTACCCCACAAAAACAACAAACGAATTACGTTTATCACAATAGTTATCAGTAATGTATAAAATTATTATGCGATTATAATTTTTCATCTTATACTCTATAAAAATTTTAAAGAATTAACATGTTACCGATTAATACAGCTATTATCTACGTGTACCTATAATCTTAAAAATAGGTATATTCTTTATTCAAATTTACTAAATTAAAAGTTTGCCTCACCACTTCCGAGACCCACGAGCCGCCACTTGTTTATACGCGAACGCAAAGCGCGTATTCTCGCGATTGTTGATATCGTATTTCCGAAGAACAAAAACAAACTACCACCACTTGTACTTTTCATTTTTGGTTAATTCGATTGAAATACGGTCAATAACGTTCACTATGACTGGAAGAGCACCGACCAGTTAAGCTGGCCCACAATTACAATGCCATTCAAATCCAAATTGCAAATTAACTACGCGCAGCGCCAACGGCCAGTTTGCTTGTCACCGGTAACGAAATCGAGCGCGTTCCTCTCGGTCAAAATGACGAAATTTTTAACGACCTTCCATTTCACCTCGCCCATTCACTTCAAACTCGACTACAGCCCCTCGCTCACAACGCAGGACAAGCTGTAGCCCCTTTAAATTCACTCACCGCATCACCCACCCACAGTGAGGGACACAATGCGGTCTTCAAGGTCTTTAAAAAAATTAATCATACGGTCGAGAAAACAAAAGTCCCCGCGTTATACGATAATAGCGCGAGTCGATATGTTGGTCACCGTGGGGGAGGGGATACCAGCCGAGACGACATACCCGCTTATGGCGATTGACACCGCCGGCGGACAAATCGTTCGAACCGTAAACCCACCCGAGTTTTGCCGAACAAACGCACCCGCGTAAAATTACAACTCCCGCTGTGGAACTTGAATTTTACAACGGTTTTGTGACGGCATTACTTGACTCACAAGCGCAAAAGTCATATATCACCCCACCAATAGCCCATAATTACGGAATTGTGCACAAAGGACCCACACACGCGGTTAGACTAGCAGACGGACACACGAAACCAACCGCCGGCACCGCTACTTTTACCGCGAACATCGCAGATCTGACAATCACTTTTACGGCTGTTATCTTAGAGAATCTGTACTGTGACGTACTCCTGGGACACGACTTTCTAACAGAACAGGAAGTCTCCTGGGACTACGCTGCAGGTATAATTCACTTGGGCGCAACGCGACGCGCTACAGCTTGTTGGAAAGCGAGTACTCGACACACGCTACCCGATGTAGATCTACCAACACTAGATATAGCAGGTGACCCACACACGCGCGAACTATCATCACAGATAGTGAAGAACTGCGCTACGTTTTTAATGACACGGTGGGACACATAACGCTTATCGAACACGCATCATGTTACCATCCGACCACAAAGCGCGGACCAACTACACACTCACTTTATTAGTGCCAGGCCGAGAACAGAGGCTGACACCACCACCCTTAGCATCGAACGTGGAGGAGACACCGTTTTAAACTACAGTAACAGCAGCAATAGCACAATAGCGGTGACAACATCTAAATCAGCAGCGGTGAAACAGCGACCGGCGGAAAAACCCACGGTATTGGTATACACCCACTCACCCCTTAGATCACCCAACAAACAACGTGAGTTTGCGGCCTTCACTGCGATACGCGGTTTCTTCCCGGTCGCCATTAAGTAGACCGGCGGCTTGGCGGTATTTGACACGGCCCGCGTCGCTCGTTATACGCGATGCCCATCTCTATCTCGCACCATTTGCGGCGGGTCGTCGTCGGCCGTGCGTCATTTGCAATTTGCACCGTAGCGTATAACACGCGGTGTTGGTCAGTCGAATACTCATAGTAGGGCGACGGCTGATAAAGGTGACACGAGTCGCGGGACATCGTGTATAACGAAGCGACGCGGGCCGTGTCAAATATGCTTTGCTCACAAAAAATATTAAAAAGAACTTGCATTCATGGTAAAATGCTTTTTTGCAAAATTCAGAATTATGCTTAAAATATTTCATTTATATATACCCTATTCTTTTAAAATTACTCTGCTGTTTGTGTTTAATTTTTATAAAGTTAGATGTTTAAAATTAATTGCATTTATTTTTCAGACGAAATAATGAAGTATATGGTGAACAATATGAATCTAGTAAAAGTCAATCTTATGTTGACAATATTGTAAGTTTTAATTCTGTGGATGATATTTTTTTTTGCAATTAATTTCTTTAAATGAATACAAAAATTATATATTTATTTTTAATTTTTACTTATGATACGACCCTATTTGGGTTCATATCTCATATGCCTGTTAACAGTAACCCAACATTTTAATTAGTACATATCCCATTAGAAAAAACTAATTAAAGAATAATGAAATCAAATAATAATGTTTATTAATAATAAAATAAAATAAAATAATAATCTATGGATTCAAGATATGTTGAAAATGTCCATCAGGGAGATGACAATGTGCTATAAACATCATGAGAATTATAATTTTTTAAATCACAATTAAATAATAATAATAAGTTCAAATAATATTAATTAGATGTTAAACATTCATATGGTAGGTCTCAACTGCTTGTTGCACTACATTTTCACATACAGTTTTCTGTAAGAATGTGTAAAATTGTCAGCGGGTCCCTGTATATCTATCTGTAATAAGCATGACCAAGCTGTTAAATGTTATTAACTGAACCAAGATTTGTGCACAAAATGTGAACGTATCACTTATTTAAAACCAATTTTTTAATTATTAATTGACTTATTTTAGCTGAAAAGTGAAAAAGCATTAATGAAGCGTTTTCTAATTGCTAAATTAGATAAATTTAATGAAATAATTAATCGAGAATCAAAAAAAGTTAAAAAATTGAAAAAAACAGTTTTAAAAGTAAATATATTTTAAGTAAAAATAACTTAACCTCTGGTTAATACATATTATATTATTTTCACACAATAATAATTTTTTTTATTAACATTTACTATAATTAAAAAAAATACAAAGAATGTATTAGTTTTTAAATTAGTTCTAAAATCATGTTTTATTAACCTATATTTTTGTATTAAATCATATTGAAAAAATTTTTGTCCGCAGCATAAACTCGCCAATAATGAATTAACAAAAAAGAATTTAGATTACCAAAATACTTTAAAAATTCAACAAGATGATTATATAAGTATATATGTTGTTATTAACTTACTTTATTTAATTTTACACTTGTTTAAGCAAAGTCACATGATATTCTTAATATATAACATGAAATATACTGTGTCTTAATCTGGACTTATTTATCTGTATAAAATATATAAGCGAATAACCTATGAACTCCGTTTATTTATTTTTTTGATGGAGTTCACGTAATGGGGTATAAATTAATTTTGGGCTTATTTATTACTATTGTATTAAATTGAACATTAGAAACATTGGTAACAATATCATGTCCATACATTTTTGTTTATAAAACATTACATTTTTTTATATTATAACAATTATAATTCAAATCTCTAAGATAAATATAATTTATAATGCATTGTCATGTGTGGTCTTAATTGGTTTTTATAAATATTTTAGAAACATCTTCATCACGTTTTAAAAATAAATAAATCTTATTCCTTTTATTAAATATTTTGATAAGAAAAAATATTAATTAAAAAATAAAACACCTATGGATTTAAGACATTTTTGAAAAAATTAATTTATCTTATTTTTCCTAAACTTTCAATTGTATTAAGGCTAATGTTAAATTACATTAAAAAAAGGTATTTATCAAATTATTATCATTTGTAACTCTATTTTCTAGATAAAATTTTTAAGTTAAACTTTGTTAAGTCATTTAATAGCTTCAACATACTTTAATTATTATCTTTTTTTTTTGAGAAGTTAATTTTTTTGTTTGAATTTTTTTTCTAGATCAAATATCACAAATTGAAGAAACAATCAAAGAAAAAGTTTATAGTGTTCTAGAAAGTGATTTTCAATGTTCAATTTGTAATGAATTAATGGTTAAGGTATTATTTTTACATTTAAATCCATTAATAGTGGAAATATAACACGTCATCATGTTAAAAGTTCTTAGCAAATTTATTATGTTACTTTGGTTAAAAAATGTAGTAGGGAATAATTTTTAATCAATTTTAAGATTGTTAAATAATATAAAGTGATAGTAGAGATCTGAAAACTTTTTAAACTTTCTGGTTCTAGAATTGTAAATAAAGTTTCTGAAAAGTAAAGCTAAAATATTTTAATTAAAAAATTAATTTCTGATGAAAATTTTATTTTTTATTAGTTAAAAAATTAAATAAATGTGTTTAAAAATCAATTGTAAAAATCATATAATAAAATCTAGTAAAGTAATTTAAAATGCTTTTCTTTAGGTATATGTACATATTTTTATTTTGAACTAACAATTAATATGATTGCTAAACATATGAAGACACAAATTTTCAATTTAAAATAAAATTTGCTTAATCGTCTAAGATAAAAAACGATTTTACAATTACTTTTNAAACATATGAAGACACAAATTTTCAATTTAAAATAAAATTTGCTTAATCTTCTAAGATAAAAAACAATTTTACAATTACTTAATTTACTTACATTGACATTACTTTACCATAATGTGTGACATTTTAAAGTAAATTTGTTTGCTTGTGAAAATAAAATGCAATTTAAGTAAAATGAAACATATTACTATGTCATTGTCTATATATTATTATTTTATAATTTAGTAACTATTTGTATCCAAAATTTAAATAAGTTTTTAAATTTTGTTTTTGATCAATTAGCTTCTAAGAGACTGAAAAAAAATCACATACTTCATAAATTTTCCAACAAAATTATTTTATTTTAGAATTTGAGTTTGAAGTTTAAATAAAACATATTTTATCTCAAAATGTTAGTTCAAGAAAACTTGAATTATAAGCATCCATAAATTAGATTAAAAAAATGATTTTAAATATCTCATTATCATTGGGAAATAAATAAAATTTAGTCATAAATTGTGAAAATGAATATTTTATATAAAATTTAATATGTAAATTTGTTTTTTTTTTAGGCGTGTACAATTAATTGCAGCCATACATTTTGTGAAATTTGTTTAAATACTTGGTTGAAATATAGTCAAGTGTGTCCTCTTTGTCGAACTTTAGTTCAAACCAAAACTCTTTGTCTATCTCTGGATAACTTTATTACCAATATTTGTAATCTTCTTGGGAATGCAATAAAAGAACATCGGGAAAAAGTACAACAAGAAAGTAAGTATATTTGAACATTTATTAACTTATATTTATTGTTATAACTATTTTTAGAATTGACAGTTAATGTCCCACGAGTAGAGTATGCACGACAAACTGCTAGAAGAGGTAGTAGAAGAGAGGTACAACTCAACGTCGAAATACACATCCTGCACATGTTCAATAAGAAATAGTGCAAAGAATTCATGAAGTTATGTTTTGATAAATACCTGAATTTTTGACTAATGTAATACATTTTAAACTTTCCAAAAGAAAATTTACTTTTTACTCTTTCATATTTTTAGAAAAATTGAACAAAATATAATTAAATAAATATAATTATTCATGTGAAATTTGTAAATAATTTTAGTTTGTTTTTGTACAACTTAGTTTAATAAACTCATACTACATATGTATTATTTAAACTTTGAATTTAAAATTGTTAAATTTTATATAAAATTAAGATAATTTACCTTATTGTTAAAAATAAAATATTTTCCATACATTATCTCATCTATTGTATTTTAAATTTTAATTAAAATATATTTGATACCTAGCAAAATGATAGGTACTTTTTTAACAACTATGAGCACAATAAAATATTATTTAATGTTTTTAATACAAATATAAATAAGCACAAGTATTTTAATTATATTTTACAAGAACTCTATTAAATAATAAAATAAAACCTTGGGAGCTAGAGCTATTGGTTGGTACATAAGGATTTTGTTCGCCACCGGGTTCCTACTAAAGCGGTTATCCCATATGACTAATAATAAAAAATAACAATAAATTTCAATAATAGATTTCTAACCATAAAAAAAAGAAAGATTACCATTCATCTAATTAATATGTTTTTTTCTGTATGATATGATTTTCAAATGTATAAATTCATATTTAAATTCAATCGGACGTCCGCAAAATACAAATGTAATGACATTGAACTATAAAATAATTTTACATACACTGAGAAGATATACTCCAAGTCAATTCACGGATTCAACGATTCGACGCACAGTGGGGCAACGAGTTTCAAAAGTTGGCATTAAATCATGGAGCAAAAAAATATATTCCTAAAAATTAATATTATTTTTATTTTTGTCCATCAAATATATAAAAAGTCATTTACATAATATTAACATAGGTATTTACTATTTACTAAAATCCCAGCCCCTCATTATAGCTTCACCTGGAACAGATTTTACGTTTTTTCTGCTTTAAAATTCCGATTTTTTTTTACTGCGGTCTCCACACAATCTCATATCCGCTATGTTGTATTTCATTCTACTAATATGTAATTTTGTCAGGCAGTTCCATAAATTCTTGAAATTACATGCATTTGATTATAGGAATGATTCTTAGGAAGGCGTACTTTTAATATACAGAAATTTACTGAACATTAGCCACTCAGAAATTTCAATTAAACACCTCATGTTTAGATTAATTTCAAACAATACGACAAAATTTAAAAACTATAATCGAATCATAATAATCATAGACCGTAATATTTATTTAAAAAACCATTATAAATTTTGTAATAATTTTGATTATAAGTAATGTTTTAATAAATAAACCATTACGTTATGATACTAAATTAAGTTCAGAAATATTCTTCGTTTTAATATGTTATCAAAATCGTTTTTAGTTAAAATATAACTGCAAGCGCAACTCGTCAAGATTTTGTCTCGCATCTAACGGAATATGATTAGAAGTGTACTTTTGTAGGTATCCGATAAAGACTAGTGATGGGCATTTTCGAATATTTTAAACTATCGTATAACTATTCAAATTGTGTTTATACAACCGTATAGTTTACTTTTAGCATAAACTATCGAATATTTTTACTATTCGAATATTTTTTGAATGACTATCGAATAGTTTGAATAGTGGACAACTATCGAATAGTTCGATAGTTTCTATTCGATATTTCCCATCACTAGTTTTTTTAACTACGGCAGCCGTTTACATGCAGAAGATAAAGTGTCGGGACAATTTTTAGCTTCGATGCGAAGCTGAGATAGTATTGGTTTTACTATGATGTGTTTTTTTTTTTTTTTTTTGTCTGTTACCACTTTTTTTCAGCTCTCAACGAACGGATTTCTTTCAATGATAATTCAAAAGATCACAAATCGTATCTAGTCAAAGACATTACCCTCAAAAATTAAAAAATTTTCCCTCGTTCCCCGTAAATGGGGGAAACCTCAAAAAAAATTACAAATTTAAAAATCGCTAATTATCGAAATTTTTTCAATTTTTTTGACTTAAAAATGCCATTACTTTTAGCTTCGATGCGAAGCTGAGAAGGTATTATTTTACTAAGATGTGTTTTTTTTTTATTTTTATTTTTTTTTTTTTTTTTTGTGTNGCTGAGAAGGTATTGGTTTTACTATGATTTTTTTTTTTTTTTTTTTGTGTCTGTTACCACTTTTTCTCAGCTCTCACCGAACGGATTTCTTTCAACGATACGTCAAAAGATCACAAATCGTATCTAGTTGAAGACATTACCCTCAAAAATTGAAAAAATTTCCCTCGTTCCCTGTAAATGGAAAAAACCTCCAAAAAAATTACAAATTTAAAAATCGCTAATTTTTGATATTTTTTCAATTTTTTTTAATAAAACTGCCGTAACTTTTTCAAAAATGAACATATGAATATAATTTTTTTTTTTATAGATGCTTGATGTCTTTACTTATCATTTGGTATAATTTTTTTGTAAATTTGACCTTTTTTCTGCCCACAGGGGGGCATTTAAAATGACAACTTTTTCACAAAAAATTAACTTTTTCAACTTAACTTTTGAAAATGTTCCGGAAGGTCTGACACTTTTATATATATCTTAAATTAAAGCTAATGTAATATACTTTAATTTGAAAAAAAAAAATTTGACCTCTGGACTTGTCTTCGTGGTGAAAGTTGACATCAAAGTTAATAAAAAATTACGATTTTTGTAAAATAATTTTTTTTTATATTTTTAACTTAATAATGCTCTAACTTTTTCAAAAATGAACATATCAATATAATTTTTTTTTATATAGATGCTTGATGTCTTTACTTATCATTTGGTATATTTTTTTTGTAAATCTGACACTTAACCTGCCCACAGGGGGGGATTTAAAATGACAACTTTTTCACAAAAAATTAACTTTTTCAACTTAACTTTTGAAAATGTTCCGGAAGGTCTGACACTTTTATATATATCTTAAATTGAAGCTTATGTAATATACTTTAATTTGAAAAAAAAAAATTTGACCTCTGGACTTGTCTTCGTGGTGAAAGTTGACATCAAAGTTAATAAAAAATTACGATTTTTGTAAAATAATTTTTTTTTATATTTTTAACTTAATAATGCTCTAACTTTTTCAAAAATGAACATATCAATATAATTTTTTTTTATATAGATGCTTGATGTCTTTACTTATCATTTGGTATATTTTTTTTGTAAATCTGACACTTAACCTGCCCACGGGGGGGGGATTTAAAATGACAACTTTTTCACAAAAAATTTACTTTTTCAACATAACTTTTGAAAATGTTCCGGAAGGTCTGACACTTTTATATATATCTTAAATTAAAGCTAATGTAATATACATTAATTTGAAAAAAAAATTTTGACCTCTGGACTTGCCTTCACGGCGAAAATGGCTACCGAATGCTATTTTCGTGTGAAAATTCTCGATTTTATGATTTATATTATATTTAACTTTATAATGCTATAACTTATTGAAAAGTTTATGGATCCACACAATTTTTTTATGAGAAATAATATTTTTTAATAAACCCTTTTTCATTCGACATACTTTATCTTAATCGAGATATTAATAAGGAACCAGCAAATCAAGTAGCTTTTGGAATAAAACACCAATTTTTTTAAAATTAAACACTATCCAAAGATTTGCATCGAAGTGTTTATTTTTGATAGTGATTTTAATCACTGTCAGATATCATTATACTTGATCCAACTATGCCACGTCACCACTGTGCCGCGACCCCCCTGTGCTGGGTTTTTTNATCCAACTATGCCACGTCACCACTGTGCTGGGTTTTTTAAAAATGAACATATCAATATAATTTTTTTTTTATAGATGCTTGATGTCTTTACCTATCATTTAGCATATAATTTTTGTAAATCTGACACTTAACCTGCCCCCAGGGAGGGATTTAAAATGACAACTTTTTCACAAAAAATTTACTTTTTCAACTTAACTTTTTAAAGTGTTCCGGAAGATCTGACACTTTTTTATGTATCTTATATTAAAGATTTGTATATATGTAATGTACTTTATTATGGAAATAAAAAAATTGACTTCTGGACTTGTCTTCATGGTGAATAGGCTACCGAATGCTATTTTTATGTGAAAATTCTCGATTTTATTTTTTACATTTTTAACTTTATGATGCTATAACTTATTGAAAAGTGTATGGATCAACACAATTTATTTATGAAAAAAAAAATTTTTTAATAATCCCTTTTTTATTCGACATACTTTATCTTAATCAGGATATTAATAAGAAACTAGCAGATCATGTAATTTTGGAATAAAACACCAATTTTTTAAAATTAAACACTATATATTTGCATCGAAGTGTTTTATTTTGATAGTGTTTTTAATCACTATCAGATATCATTATACTTGATTCAACTATGCCACGTCACCACTGTGCCGCAACCCCCCTGTGCTGGGTTTTTTTCATTTTATAGCATAAAATAAGCTTTAATTTGATATGTTTTTAAAGGACGCAGTATTTCATTTTCAAAAACTAAGTTGAAAAAGTTAGTTTTTGTAAAAAAGTTGCTATTTTAAATCCCCCCCCCCATGACCAGGTTAAGTGTTAAATTTTCAAAAAAATGATATCAAATGAAAGAGAAATATCTAAGGATTTAGTATAAAAAAATATTAAGTTTTTTGAAATTATTATATTATTTTACTATAAATAAATTGAAGCCATGCATTGAATTCTACCAAATTATTTATTAATTTTACTATGATGGGGTTTTTTTTTTAAACTACAATATGAAGAATATTCAACAATAATGAAATATTGTAGCTACATATGGACCATTATTACTCAAATAAAAATAAAATAATCCAACTTTACATGTAATTTTTAAATAATAACTTAACAATGAATTTAGAAGTGAATACTATGAAAGTTTAAAATATGCCATAAAAAGTTTTTATAACATAAAAAAATATTTTAATAAATTTTATCAAAACCAAGATTTATAAGTTCAACGTTAATAAAATGATCACAATACATGTACAATTCCACACAAGCCTGTTGACAGTAAGTTTTTGAGTCAATTGTATTATTATTCAATTCAACAGCATTTATCTTGGTAATATTTTTAAAATTTTCTCTATGAAATCTGGAACTTAAATTAAATATACAACGATGTTCTCGATTTCGTTTCAAATTACATAACTTATGTGAAAAGAGTTTTTTTACTAGTGTTACATCAGATAGATATTGGTCTGCTTTTATTTTCTCATCACAATTCTCTTTAAAAATAAAATCATCGCGTAATAAAGATGTTTTATTTAACAAAACAAAATAATCATTTACAAGCTTTTGTATAGGCCATAATAATAAACTTGCTTGGTTTTGAAACCACATCGATGATTTATTTAAATTCATTATTACTGTATTTATAATATTAAAAAATATCTGAGTCCTCTTAATGGTATCAACAAATATATACACCGATTCAACATATTTAACATGATTATTTGTAAACTCTAAATGTTTTTTCTCTTTGTCAAATAATTGTAAGATTGCAGTTAAATAAGAAGTATATTCTGTTAATACTTCTAAAATCTTACACCTAAATAAAAGTTTAATATATTTTCTTTTGATATGAAAGTTATAAATATCAACTGGATCTCTGAGAACACGACTCAAACTAATTGTTTGATAGGATTCCTGTATTGATATACCAGTAAAAGAATCCCATTTAATCTTATCAATAAGTATATTCATAGCTGCTAATCTTTGTCCTGGATTGATTGGATCATCTGGTGGTGGTACGAGTGACGGAAAACTGTAAAATAAATTAATGTTATTGTATGAAAAATTAATAGTTAAGATAATGTTATTAATGTTTAGAATTAACCGTTGCAAAATTTAGTTTCAATACAAATATCAGATGCTATTAATTTTACCGGGTAGAAAAATATTATCTTCAATGCGAAACTTAATATGTATTATACTAGACATTAAATATTGTTTTTTGTGTTAATAAAAATGTTCAGCTGTCAGTGAACTGATAAGTGGAATCATTTTTTTGAAATTGAAAGACATTAAATTATAAACATTAAAAAAAATATAGATATTAACATATTAAAATGCGGACAATGGACCAACAGGTCTGAGTGCATGGGCACCTCGATAATAACTAACTTATTAAAATTGTAGTAAATTTTAGAAATACCGGCAAAACTTTATATGTCTTTTATATTTCAATTAAGTTAATTTTTTTAAAAATTTTTTGAATTTTTAATAAAATATATAATGCAGCAACATTTTTTTTTTATATAATATTTATGGAATTTCAATTAAAAACCAAAATATCGGAAGGATATGAAAAAGACAATTTACGCATGCCAATTTTTTTTTTAATTTCAGTTTTAATAAGATAATGTGTGTCTCTACTACGCCTTGGGTCATTAGATTTAATTCCATAACGTGTTGAAATTTAAAGTTTAAAAATAACACGAATTATATTTTTCATTGATGCACTCAAGATGACTAAATTTTTATAAATGTCATGGATTATGTCGCAATAATGTATTCGACACTGGTTTTGATGATATAGACCCGTTTATTATTTATAAAGAACAACAAATTGTTTTAAAAGAACTGAAGAGACGAACACAATTAATAGTAATTTTCGCATGATATCGTGGCACTGCTTAACTTTGCGCAGTGGCGTATGGCACGCGGTGTTGGTCAGTCAAACCCAAAGACACAAAAGACCCAAAGACACAAAAGACCCAAAGAGAGCGATAGCTGATAAATGAGGTGTTGGTCCCACTGTTTATGACGATGCGACGTGGCACCATGTCAATGATAATGTTCCGAACTTTAATCATAAAATAACTAAAAACCATGGCTTTTCTGATATTAAATAAAGTGTTCGATAAGTAATGAAACGGGTTTCTATTTTTCTTATTGTATGTAACAAATCACCTGTTCCCTTACTTACTGAACACTTGTATAAAATATTGACTACTAGAATTTATAAATGAAAATAAAAATAACCTTAATATTTTATAATTTTATTATAAACTATCTTAATTTAATTAACTTAAACTATAATTTTTGAGTAATTTTAAGTTGCAAATCATATTTCTCACTTATTTATTGAAGGAGAAAGCAATTCATTAAAGCCAAATTTATCAAATCCATTTCTTGCAATATGATCATAAACCTTATTTAAATTAAGAAAAATAAAATCATTATATCTTGTGTATTGATTTGTACAGGTTTTGTAACCGTTATCGAACATTAATTTAATATTTATTCGGTAGGGAAAATCTACTAAAATTTTTTTTCCCTTTTCTATGTTTAATATCATTTCAGTTACCTCATTTGAAAATTTTTTAATATTAGAGATAATCATTACTGCTATGTAATTGTCAAAATCTTCTTTTTGATTTTTATAATATGACCAATTTGTTAATATTATGAAACTCACGAATTGCTTGACGAAATATATTTCATCAACTACAACAAAAGGATTTCCTTCAATTTTAGGAAATGCATATTTTAAATCTAAAGAACTGATAAACGTCGTTGCTTTATACAATTTGTCAAATAAAATTGTAGATTTTTTTACTCCATTCTCGAGTAATTCAGTACAATCAATCAGTTCTTTAAATAAATTATCAGCAGAATACTTTTCACACTTGTTTATAATTATTCTAAGAAACTCCAGAAATGATCTTATTACTTCAACATACAAGTTGTTCAGTAAATTAATAATGAAAGTTGACATTTCTAATAGATTATTGCTAGCATTGTTTTCCAATACTTCTTCAACAGGTATTCCATCGAAAGACCCCAATTTCAGTTCTAAATGTTTTAGATAATTCCAACCTTCTTTATAACGTATATAATTAACTACTCCAGTTAGATATGTTACATAATTTTCTTTTTCATAAGTCATCGTAGATAAGAAGCGGAAAGACAATTGACTTAAAAATGCAAATATAAAAATTCCACTATACATATTTTGAATATTAATTGCACAATTCTCACTAATTTAAAAGCTTTAATGAATTTAATGAAATATTAAATAGTTAACTGTTCTATTTGATATAATATAATAGTATATTAAATTATATAAGATTCAAGTGTTCAAATTATATAAAGACAATGTAAATAATAATGTCTGTTGATTAAATGATTTAGTACATTTATTGTAACATCCCAAAAAAAAAAAGAAATTAAAGTTAGCAAAAATGACTGAATAAAATAAAATTTAATATGTTGATTTTGCTTATAAAATGTAGTTTAAGTAAATTTAGGTAAATTTTAATGATTATCGCAATTAGAGTTTTTAGAGTCGGGTTAGGAAATAAATAATATGCCTCCACCATCAAAGTTTAATCATTATTAAATTTTGAAATACAACTCTATAAAAATATAACAGTTACAGCTCGTTGTTTGGTCGACAAGACGATCGCACTGTCTATTAAAATTATTTAAAAGAAGAAAATTAATTGTATATTCTTAATTCTTCATTTAAATGCAAATTTTTAAACAGTAAGTTAATTATAATACATTTGTCCTTTATGAACATGTTGTTTCCCTCAGATACCAAGATAACATAAGCAGCGATAGGACGACCAACAGCGTCATCAGAGCAATATTCTGAAACGTATATTATAAGCGAGGGGCACAATCATATGCGTCTGGTCACGGTTCAGCTGCGATCTTGTGTAATCAACGGGTTTTGGACGACCGGCAGCGTGGGTGCTTTGTGTCATATTTTTCGTATATTGAGTGCCCGACGCTTTTTTCACAATAATACTAGTATTTTTTGTTTATTATTGTTTTAAGCTTATTTTAAAAATTATTTTTAACTTTTTAGTTCGATATGCTTTAAAAGTGTGTTTTTCAATTTTATAAAACTATATTTATTATGGAATGTGTAAGAACATTTATTACTATGTTCTTACCACTTATATTACACACATTTTATTTCTATTTATTTAATTCGTAATACATATTAATTATCATAGAGGGAGATGCTGATGTGACAATTCTACTCGTCTGTAGCCCGGAGCTACTGACGTCGAACTAACAAAGGACAGTTGTGTTTGAGTGGCCGTTAAAGACATAGTTTTCAATACTATTACTTTCATCTTCTTTATATTATTTATAACTCAACTTGTTTTATTCAACTTTATCGCCAATTGTCATCATAGCCAACCAACTCCGTCTCACTTGGATATACCTACTAACCAACTGTACTAGGATTCAGGTCAGACGTATTGTACATTACATATAACTTATACTTACTGAACATCTAAAATATAACTTTACTTTGTCGTTGACATAAAACAATAGTCTAATTTTATTTAATAATCTATCCCCTGTAACTAAGGTACACGATTGCCTGTGTCTCCTTCAGGCAATTAAAACTCATTTAAGGAGATAGGGACGATATTTGGGCAGACGTCGGGTAGCTTCCGATTCTTGGCTTTGACAAAGATTCTCAACTATTAAACAAGCCCCTAACAAATTTATTTATATTTCACTCGCTTAATTTTAAATGCGCTAAAATTTTGAGTTTTCACTTTTCTTATGTTTAGCAATAGTACCAAAATTTGAACATAGAAATAAAATTATCATAATGTGTATCATGTTTTGTTTAGTATTAAGTTATTAGTCCTGGTTTGTAATTTTACTGTAAAGTATTACAAAAATGTACACAAAAAAGAGCTGTTTTACACATAATTTGTACTAATTTATATAAATTTACCCACATTTTTACAAATTTTAGCCTATATATTTTTGTAAATTTCAACAGCAAACATTTAATACTATAATTTTTTCTGAAGATGGTTGGATAAGATCAAAAACCACCAATACAGTAAAATTTTTAATCCTATTGCGGCACGAGTTAATGTCACTCATATTCGATCAAAATTTGTATAAATTATTAGTTTCGATGCGAAGCTGAGAAGGTATTAATATTACCATGATGTGTTTTTTTTTTTTCATGTCTGTTGCCACTTTCAGCTCTCACTGGACCGATTTCTTTTAAAAATACGTCAAAAGATCACAAATCGTATCTAGTTGAAGAAATTACCCTTAAAAATTGAAAAATTTAATAATAAATTATTTTATATTTTAATATACTAATATCGGATTTTTAGTTAAAAAATTACCATATTTATCAGTATAAAGTGATCCATTTGAAATTTTCATTATATTTATATTATGATAAGCGTAATAAAGTTTTTCTACATGACAAACAGAATTCCTGAAATATTTAAAATAAACCATTTAAAATCGAAATAACTCATGTATAACTTTGTTCAAATTGTTAAACATAATCATGAGGTTTTTCACCTCATTTTTAATGCGTAAATAAAGTTTGATATTGACATCATTAAAAAGAAAATTTTATGAGAATTAAAAAAATGTTATTGTTAAAATTAATAAGCAGTCAGTAAATTTTGATAATTACTATTTACAGTAAATTTATTAGAAAATTTCAATATTTTTTGCATTTTTATCGTAAAAGTAAGTCAAGTGAGAGCTGAGAAAATAAATTATAGTGTTAAAAAAACCCAGCACAGTCATAAATCACTATCATAAAAAACGCTTCGATGCAAATCTGTAGATAGTGTTTAATTTAAAAAATAAAATTTGTCAAAAAAGTAGGTCAAATGGGAGCTGAGAAAATAAATGATAGCTACAAAAAAAAAAACCCAGCACAGTGGGGTCGCAGCACAGTGGGGACGTTGCATAGTTAGGTCCAGTATAGATTTAATCTGACAGTGATTATAATCACTATCATAAGAAACGCTTCGATGCAAATCAGTAGATAGTGGTTAATTCTAAGAAATTGGTGGATAATTACAAAAGCTGCATGATCTGCTAGTTCCTTATTAATACCCTGATTAAGATAAAGTATGTCGAATGAAAAAGGGATTATTAAAAAATATTATTTCTCATAAAAAAATTGTGTTGATTCATACACTTTTCAATGAGTTATAGCATTATAAAGTTAAAAATGTAACCAACCCAACCCAACATCAACTCCTATTTCCTTAATTATATCCAGATTAGTAATTCGTTTAATTATATATTACATAATTTTTATAATTAATTATTTTCAAATTATTATTGATTTTTAATATGTTAAAAGTAATCATTTTGAATCAACTTCTTTTTGTCCTTTAAAGTGAAAGTTTTATTAAAAAAAAAATGAGTTTATTACCATAACTTTTAACTCAACTTGCAAGTTTGAAATAGATATTATTAAATAGAAAAAAAATGAAATTAGTAGATTATTTCAAAAACAACAATAACACTTATTCCCTTAATTTTACCCCGATTTATAATTATAATATATGAATACATAATAATTACAGTAATTAAATTGAGTATGAAAGTGGTATTCAATAATATAATATTGTAATTTTTACGGATATTATAAAAATAAAAAGGAGTTGTATATTCATATACTTTTAATGCGTATACAAATTTAAAGGAATTTATGCAATACTTTTTAATAAAAAAATTTTGTTACTTATGAATAAATACACTAAACAAAAGGAACTTTCATCAGAAAAAAAATATACTTTTCTAAATAAACTTTTCGCGATGTTTTCAAATGTGCCACTAAACTTTTTCTATTACTTCTAAGTTTTAATATTATTATTTATTATTAAAAAATAAGTATTTACATATAAAAAAAAAATAATTAAGAACAAAAAAAATTGTATTAAATTAATACTGATTTTGATTTTTAATGTGTTAAAAGTAATCATTTTGAACCTATTTTTTATTGTCTTTTAAAGTGAAAGTTTTAATGAAAAATACCTTCCCAGCTTCGCAACGAAGCTAAAAAATGAATTTGTTACCATAACTTATAGTTCAACTTGCAAGTTTGAAATTGACATTATTAAATTGAAAAAAATGAAATTTTTAAGATTAATATGCAATCTGGAAATTTTATAATTACTAATTACAGTACATTTGTCAGAAAAATTCGATTTTTTTACATTTTTATCGTAATAGATAACTGAAATAGAAAGAATAGTAATCATATCCTAATAACTTTTGGTGTTTAAAAAAATTCTGCAATTGAAATATTCAGAACTTAATTAATTTTAATAATTTACTTTAATTAAATGAACCAATCAAAACAAAGTAGTTAAAAAGATTTACTCAATTGAGTGTATTATAAAAAATAATTATAATAATTATAACGATAATAATTATAATATTTAACGATAGATTTTTACAATTATTGTAAAAATCCATCGTTAAATTCAGGTGAAACTAAAAACCATTTTTTTTTTAAATTTATGATTTATATAGCAACATATTACAATAAAATTTGGCATATTATAGACTGGTAGTAGCACACACTAATAGAGTTAAAAAATTAATAAATTATAAGGTAAAATTATTTACTTTTGTAATTGAATACTTTTATCATATCAAATCTAATTCGGCAATAAATACTTTAAGAATATTAAAAATTAATGATTTTAATTGTTTGTATGGAAAACGCTGGTTAAGCTACATTTTATTTGAATATGGAATATTTTTTTGATTTTTAAGAGTAATAACTTAAACTAATCATTAACTTAAATATCATAAACTTAAATGAATCATTTGACGTATCGTTGAAAAAAGTAGGTCTAGTGAGGGTTGGCAAAATAAATCGTAGCCAGAAAAAGAACCACATAGTAAAATAATATTAACATGAATATCAATTTTTTCTCACGAGGGGAGACTATAGTGATAAGATCCTTTATATTTATTGAAATTATTGAATCTAAATGAGATAAATATCAAATGATTTGAAAATTCTATTNATTGAATCTAAATGAGATAAATATCAAATAATTTGAAAATTCTATTCTAACTCAAAAAAAAAAATGCAATATTATAGAAGCCACAGACGGAGGATTTGAACCTCGTACCCTATGCGTAAATGATCAAGGTGTTACCCATTCGGCAACTGTTCGTTACTTTTTGTTGAATGATAAAATTGGCTATTTAAGCTAAATCAAATTTAAAAATTACTTTTTCGACTATAAAAAAGTAAAAAAATTTTAATAAGTATAATTTCATAAGTCTTATGAACTTTATTCTATGTCAATGAAATTATATAATATTCATGAAAGTCAGTTTATTCCCCTAATAAGATATTTTAAAATAAAATAAAATACAAAACCCAGAATTTTAATAAAAAAATAGCATATTTTTGAATACGGTAGCCTTTTGCGCATAGAAGATAGGTCGTCGGGACAAATTTTTTTTTTTCATTTAGTAGTACATAAAATAAGCTTTAATTTGATATATGTTTAAAGGACGCAGTATTTCCGGAACATTTTCAAAAGTTTAGTTGAAAAAGTTCTATTTTTTATACAATGTTTCAAAGTTTGAAACCTCCCTATATAAAGGGAAATTGTCTAATTTTAATAAAAAGTTTGTCAAATGGAAGATGTACTTATAATGTATTTAGAAAAAAAAAATTGTGCTGATACATACATTTTTCGAAAAGTTATAGCATTTTTAAGTTGAAAATTAAAAATCGAAAATCGAAAATTTTAACACAAAAATAGTGTTTTTTTAACTACGGCAACCGTTTACATGCAGAAGATAAAGTGTCGGGACAAATTTTTTTTTTTCATTTTATAGTACATAAAATAAGCTTTAATTTGATATATGTTTAAAGGACGCAGTATTTCCGGAACATTTTCAAAAATTAAGTTGAAAAAGTTAGTTTTTGTAAAAAAGTTGCAATTTTAAATCCCCCCCCATGAGCAGGTTAAGTGTTAAATTTTCAAAAAAATTATATCAAATGAAAGGATAATATCTAAGGTTTTAGTTTAAAAAAAAATTATGTTGATTTGTTGATTTTTGAAAAAGTTATAGAAGTTTTAAGAAAAAAAAGTGAAAAAAATTGATGTTTATTGAAGTTATAGAATTTAAATGAGATAAAAATCAAATGATTTTGAAAATATTTTTCTAACTCTAAAATAATTAAGAAAAAATTTCACCTACACAAGTGGGTTCGAACCTTGTACCCCATATCCTCATATACTTCTCGAAACGAAAAAAATGTATCTTTGTCATATAATAATTTTGTTTTAGGTTATACAAGACCCAATCCCTACCATGATTATGCCAGTATTCTCCGTTTTGTATATCTCCAGCTTCAAAACTTCTTACTTCTTACTACCAGACTATATTCATCTATTGTACCCTAAACGTTAAAGACGTCAGTTTTATCGATTCGGCAACCGTACGTCACATTCTTGATTTGAAAAAAATGTCAATTTAAGCTAATTCAATTTTCTCAGTTATTTTTCTCGATTTAAAAAAATTTAAATAAGGTTAACTTTATGTTCTATGTCAAATATATTTATATAATATTTATGTAAATCAGTGTACTTCCCTTGTAAGGTATTTTAAAATAAAATAAAATACAAAACCCAAAATTTAACATAAAAATGGCATATTTTTGAATACGGCAGTCATTTTTACCATGAGGACAAGTTCAGAGGTCAAATTTTTTTTTTCAAATTAAAGTATACTACATTGGGTTTAATTTAAGGTATATATAAAAGTGACAGTATTTCCAGATCATTTTCAAAAGTTAAGTTGAAAAAGTCAATTTTTTGTAAAAAAAGTTGCCATTTTGAAACCCCCTGTGGCCATTAAAGAGTTAAATGTTCATAAAATAATATCAAATAATAGGTAAATACCTATCGTATCTATAAAAAAAAATTCATTTGTTCATTTTTAAAAAAGTTATGCGAAAAAAAAAATGCCGATTTTTAAAATTGTAATTTTTTGGGAGAATTGTTGAAAAAACGAAAGAATTTTTTTTAATTTTTGAGAGTAATGTCTTCGACTAGATACAATTTGTGACCTTTTGATGTATTGTATACCAAAGCCATTTTCCGTCACGATGGAAATGTGCTAGGCTGGTACTTCTTAGGAAAAGGAATAAACTGCTAGCAAGCCCCTCATCGTATAGACCACTATATATGCTTGACACCACGGGGAAACTCCTCGAAAAAATCTTGGATAACAGTCTGAGAGAACACTTGGAAGAGACAAATGGATACACGCATTCACAATATGGATTTCAGAAGGGGAAATCAACAATTGATTCGCTAAATAAACTAAACAACATTGTAAAAGCAAAGGGGAAAAAAAACTTCACAGGAATGCTTACAATAAATGTGAAAAACGCTTTCAATTCTGCACCGTGGGACAGAATACTAGAAGCCATGTCTACAAGTCTTTGCCGAACTATAGATAGCTACTTCTCGCATAGGAAACTAAATTACACAACAGGAGGAGCGATAAAGACCATAGAATTGACAAGTGGAGTACCTCAGGGATCGGTTATCGGCCCAACCATGTGGAACCTACTGTATGACGGACTGCTTAGAGAAAACATGCCAGTTGGAGTCGAAGTCCTCGCATTCACCGACGACCTGGCAATAGTGGCCACCGCAAGGAAAACATGCACAGTCGAGCGACTACTAAAGACATCAGCCGAAATAACTTTATTGTGGCTGCAAGGGGTAGTTCTAGAAGTAGCCATAGAAAAATCAGAAGCCATAGTATTTACTAATTGTAGAGTGCAAAATACAATAATAATTTCGCTAAGAGGATCAGGATAACATCAAAGAAAATTATAAAATACCTTGGAGTCCATCTTGACAGGAAGCTTAATTATAAAGAACATGCTAGATTAGCAGCCGATAAAACAATTAAGTCAGTAAACAACCTAGGACAGATAATGCCAAATGTAGAAACATCAAAAGCGAGGAAAAGAAAATTACTTTTGACTGTTATAACATCCCAAATGCTCTACGGATGCCAAGTATGGGCTGACAAAATGGCATCCGGAGGGTAGAAACTACTAGAAAGGAGTCAGAGGGCCATCATGATCAGAGTAGCGTCAGCGTACTGAACAGTAGCTAGTGAGGCACTTAACATATTGTCCGGATTATCCCCAATCGAGCTGCAAGCAAAAGAAAGAATGCAGAACCACAAAGCAAGTAAAGAGACAGAGAATATGGCAGAAACGAGAGAAAAATCAAAGCGAAAGCTCCAAACCGACTGGCAAAGCAGATGGCAGGGATCACAGAAGGGCAAATGGACCAAACGCCTCATCCCTAAAATATATAATTGGCTGAACCGTAAGCATGGTAAAGTAAATTATCATATAACACAAGCTTTAACAGGGCACGGATGTTTTGCAAAGTACTTATTTGAGTACAAGAAAATAGAACCGCCGAGGTATTGGTTCTGCGGGCAAATAGAGGATGACGCACAATAAAATCTGTTCGATTGTGACGCATTTGAGGCCAAACGTAGAACGCTCAGATCCGCGATTGATGAAAATAATATTAATGCGGACAACCTTAATGAATTAATGCTAAGATCACAAGAAAAGTAGAAAGCAGTTGAGGACATCATAATCGATACAATGAAAAAGAAGGAAACAGAGAGAAGGAAAAGGCTAGCACAGGCCACACAGACCAACATATGAATATAATTTTTTTTTTTTATAGATGCTTGATGTCTTTACTTATCATTTGGTATAATTTTTTTGTAAATTTGACCGTTCATCTGCCCACAGAGGGGGATTTAAAATGACAACTTTTTCACAAAAAATTTACTTTTTCAACTTGATTTTTGAAAATGTTCCGGAAGGTCTGACACTTTTATATATATCTTAAATTAAGGCTAATGTAATATACTTTATCATGAAAAAAAAAAATTTCGGACTTTATTTTATCTTCTCGGTGAAAATAGCTACCGAATGCTATTTTTGTGTGAAAATTCTCGATTTTATAATTTACATTTTTAACTTTGTTATGCTATAACTTTTTGAAAAATATATGGATCAATACAATTTTTTATGAGAATAAATCTCTTTTTCATTTGACATACTATATCTTAATCAGGATATTAATAAGGAACTAGTAGATCATGTAGCTTTTGGATTAATCCACCAATTTTTTAAAATTAAACACTATCTACAGATTTGCATCGAATCATTTTTTATGATAGTGATTTTATTCACTGTCAGATATCATTATACTTGACCCAACTATGCTGCGAACCCCTGTGCTGGGTTTTTTTAACACTGTATTTAATAGATAAAAATGTTGATGAAGAATAAAAAAATTCTTAAGGATTAATTCGTAGGTCTTCTTTACAATTCCTCAATTGATTAATATAGAATTATGCTTCTATCTTAACTCACTAAATTACTTACAGAATAAAAATAATTATTTTTTAAACTTTTATTTACATACTGTTCTTAAATTATTAGCTATATGATATTTATAAAATAAATCCATTAATCCTTTGTAAAGGTGTCAAATTTGTTTTTTAATTTGATAATCGTATTTTAAATATAATAAAATATTTGAGGTTTTATTTTAATAGTAAAAAGCATTTGAAATCTTAACATAACTTTGTTTGATTATTATTATTATTGTTAATTTAAAGTTTCAAATTTTTAAGTTAATGTGTATGTATCATATATACACGATTACAAAGAAAAGTTGCTAATTATTTTTTTATGACGTCATTATACACGTATACGGAACATTTATTATCGTTGTGACTTTATTAAAATATTTAACAGCTTTTTGTTTTATCAGTTGTTGTGTTGATAATGTTAACACACAAAATTTTGACTAATAAACTATACTTTAAGCATATCGATAAAAAAATTTCAAAATTATTTTTATTCTGCGTGTAGATGAGTATTTATAAAAATTATTAATTGAAAAAAAAAAAATTGACACCCTTTTAAGGATTATGGGATGAACTAAAAAAGTATGATTACTTAATAGGTATTCAGTAATCCAACTTTTTCAGTGTAATATAAAATTATAAATGATAAATCAAAAAATATATTTCAATGTAAAAAAAATATTCATGAAATTATTATATTATTTTACTATAAATAAATTGAAGCCATGCATTAAATTCTACCAAATTATTTATTTAAACTACAAAATAAAGAATATTCAACAATAATGAAAAATTTTAGCTACATATGGACCATTATTACTCAAATAAAAATAAAATAATCCAACTTTACATGTATTTTTTAAATAATAACTTAACAATGAATTTAGAAGTGAAAATTATGAAAATTTAAAATATGCCATAAATAGTTTTTAAAACATAAAAAATATTTTAATAAATTTTATCAAAACAAAGATTTTTAAGTTCAACGTTGTTAAAATTTTCACAAAAAATGTACAATTCCTCACAACACTGTTGACTGCTAGTGATTGGGTTGTTAACTGTAGTAATGTTATATTCAATAGCATTTTCCTTCATGTTGTTTTTAATATATTTAATATTAAGAATGGAATTTGTGTCAAAAATACATCGTTTTTTTGTTTTTCTTTTCATATCATGTAACTTAATATACAAATGATTTTTGATATTTATTATATCTGTTAGATATGACTTTGCTATTATTAACTTATCACAATCTTCATTGTTAAAAAAATTATCACGTAATAAATTTTTATCATTCATAGAACTAATGAAATCATCTATAAATTTTTGTATGGGTGATAAAAATAAAGCTGTGTGATTTTGGTACCAAATCGATGATTTCTTTAAAATCATCAATGCTAAATTTATATTATTAAAAAATTCCAGATTGCTTTTTAAAGTATTATACAATTGAAGTACTGATTTAATATACATATTTTTTTTTATAATAGTCTCTAAATCATTCTTCTCTTCATTAAATAATTGTATAAATGCAGATAAATATGAAAAATATTTTGTTAATATTTTAAAAAACCAACACTTGATGAAACTTAAAATGTATTTTTTTTTTAAAATAATATTATAATAATCAACCGGATCTCTGAGTACACGGTTCAAACTAATTGTTTGATAAGGTTCCTGTATTGATATACCATTCAACGAATCCCAATTAATCACTTCCATAAGATTCTTTACAGCTGCTATTCTAAGTCCTGAAACAAATGGATCATCTTTTGGTGGTGCCAATGTTGGAAAGCTGTAATATAAATTAACCAGTTTAATTAATATTATTAATGTTTAAAATAAACCGTTACAAATTTTAGTTTTAATACATGTATTAAATTCTATTATTTTTATTAATATTAATATTATTTGTCGATAAAAATGTCGAGCGTTGACCAGATCAAATTTTGTGATCAAAACATCATTGGAAACCAAATTTTATGTTTTTGGAAATATTTCTTTGAAATTTTTTAAAAATCCCTCATTTTAAATATTCAAAAAATACTTCAAATTTGGCAGCACTTGACGATAACCCAAAAAAAAAAAAAAAAATCATAGATGTCTTTTATATTTAAATTAAGTTAACTTTTTTAAACATTTTATGAATTTTAAATAAACATATAGGTAGCGACGTTTTTTTTATATGATGTTTATGGAAATTCAATTAAAAACCAAAATGTAGGAAGGATATGAATAAGACAATTTACGCATACCAATTTTTTTTTTAATTTCAGTTTTTGAAAATTTTTCGAAACGTTTGAATTCTTTTAACTCACATTAAATTATAGATTTAAATATGATCTTAGTAATTGACTATTAAAAGTAAAAATTACGGTTGAGGTAGTATTTTTATTTTATGACTAAACATAAAATGCACTCTTCCTTCTACCTAAATATGAAAGTTTTAATAAATTCCAAAATACTCATACAGTATCACCTTGTACAAAAATGATTCAGTACCGTGTTTTTCTCAGTCGCACGTTAGGTTAGCAATAAGATAATGTGTGTCTCTACTACGCCTTGGGTCATTAGATTTAAACCCAACCGTAACGTGTTGAAATTTAAAGTTTAAAAATAACACGAATTATATTTTTCATTGATGCACTCAAGATGACTAAATTTTTATAAATGTCATGGATTATGTCGCAATAATGTATTCGACACTGGTTTTGATGATATAGACCCGTTTATTATTTATAAAGAACAACAAATTGTTTTAAAAGAACTGAAGAGACGAACACAATTAATAGTAATTTTCGCATGATATCGTGGCACTGCTTAACTTTGCGCAGTGGCGTATGGCACGCGGTGTTGGTCAGTCAAACCCAAAGACACAAAAGACCCAAAGAGAGCGATAGCTGATAAATGAGGTGTTGGTCCAACTGTTTATGACGATGCGACGTGGCACCATGTCAATGATAATGTTCCGAACTTTAATCATAAAATAACTAAAAAAAATGACTCTTCTGATCTTATATAAAATATTCACTCCTAGCATTTATAAATGAAACCAATAACAACCTTAATATTCTATAATTTTATTACAAGCCATCTTAATTTAATTAACTTAATGTGATTATTTTATAATATTTTTAAGTTAAAAATTTTATTTCTCACTCATTTATTACAGGAGAAAGTAATTCATTAAAGCCAAATTTATCAAACTCATTTCTTGCAATATGATCATAAACTGTATCGACTTCGTGTAAAATAAAGTCATTATAACTCGAGTATTTATTTTTACAGGTTTTGTATTCCATATCAATCATTTGTTTAATATTTATTCGGTAGGAAATATTTATTAAAATCTTTTTTCCCTCTTTAATGTTGAATAACATATCATATACCTTATTTGTAAAATTTTTAATATTGGATATAATTGTTACTGCTGTATTTTTGTCAAAATATCCATTTTGGGTTTTATAACATGACCAATCTGTTAATATTATGGAACTTACGAATTGTTTGACAAAATATATTTCATCAACTACTACAAAAGGGTTGCCTTGTATTTTAGAAAATGCATATTTTATATCTAAATAACTGATAAACGTCGTTGCTTTATATAATTTGTCAAATAAAATTGTAGATTTTTTTACACCATTCTCGAGTAATTCAGTACAATCAATCAGTTCTTTAAATAAATTATCGTCAGAATACTTTTCACACTCGCTTATAGTTAAACTAAGAAACTCCAAGAACGATCTTATTACTTCAACATACACATTATTCAGTAAAATAATCATTAAAGTTGATACATCTAAAAGATTTGAACTGCTAGCACTTTCCAATACTTCATCAACAGGTATACCATCGATTAAACACAATTTCAATTCCAGATGATTCCATCCTTTTTGACTACATATGTATTTGACTACATTATTTAGATATGTTATATATTCTTTTTTTTCAGAAGACATCGTCGTTAAAAATCCGAAAGACAATTGACTTAAAAATACAAATATAAATATTCCACTATACATTTTTATTCTTAAATAACACAGTTATAACTAATTTATAAATTATAATGAATTCAGTGGACTAATTACGCTATTTCTTTTTGGCTGACTGTTGTAATTTTTTAGTATAATGTAATATTTATAATTTTAAATATATTTTACAAAAAATATAATGTAAATAGTAGTATCTATCGATTTTATTGATTTAGAACTTAGTAGTCTGTCATATTTTACTGTAAAAATAAAAAATAAAATGTATACATTCTATAGAAAATAACTTAATGAAATTGTTTTGAGTTTAATAATTTGGTTTGTTTCAAATCTCTAAAATTTTTATCAAAAATTAAAATTATTTTGTATTTAAAACACAAATACAAAAAAGTCTTAAAGAAATATTCAAGATATAATACTCTAAAATTAATTTAAAAGTATTTATAACACAAAAATGTTATTTGAATAATAATATTTAAACTGTTGGAAATATTACTATTTTTAATTAAAAAATACTATTTCACCACCAAAACAACATTGCTCTATACAAGCAGTAATTTCCTATAATATCATTTTAATTTTTTATCTAAAAAAAGAAAAATTTGTTAGGTAATTTGTTTATTGAAAAATATTGGTATGAAGTTATATAATATATATAATAATTAATTTTCACTAACAATCCAATATTTTTTTGATTTTTAAAAACTGAATTTATTCCATTTAATATTGGTTACAGCCTTCTTAATGATAAAGAAACAGGTCATTTCTGTTACAGTATTTAATCCGTTTTTATTGATAGTATATATACATAGTATAGTTCAAATACTTTCTGGGAAACTATTGAAAACTAATAATTAACTTGGGTTAATTATTAGATAATTAATTAGGGTAAATAATTAGAAGAGTATATCTCTACTTACGAGTAGACATAACCTATTTATGATAAATTGATGTAATAAGAATAAATAGTAAAATAACAACAGAACATTTCTAATCACTTTGACATACTGTAATAGATGAACAGTTCATTGTATAAAAAAAATTAAATAGCTAAATTGTTTGAAATTTTACAATATCAAACTAAAATTAAGAGTTCTCATTTAAAAAATTGAAAATAAAGAACTGTTTTTCTTCAAATGGTGAAGATGAATTGTTTAATAAAAGAAAATTGTAGAACTTTTTGAAAGGAGCAATTTTTCCCTTGATAAAAATAAATAATTTCAATAGTTTCCGAGAAAATTAACGCCTCATCCATAGTGAATCACCCTAACATTTATGACACTTTTAGCAATCTATTACTCGTTTGTTTAAAATGGAAAATAATAAGAATATATACAGTAGAATCATTTGTAATGACCTCGGGTGTAATGATCTTATATTGCAACTCCCTACAAAACTCGCATATTGTATGTACAAAATTCTATCGTTTATAATGACTATAAAAATGTTATGCCAGTTATATTTTTTTACATGAATTATCAAAATATTTTATTTATAATAACTTAAACAACCGATAACACTAATTTAATCGTTTCCATATACCAAAATATCTAATGTATTAGGCATAGGTCATTCTACAATTTTTAAAGTATAGAAAAATTGAGACAAAATAGAACAAGTTTCAAAATGAAATTTATCACAATAGAAACTTCGAAATTTTTCGCATACGGATTTAAATACTGTTTTATTACAAAGGTATAAAAATCAAAGAAATCTATGCATTGTAATTAATAGATCGAGTTTTCAAAAAAATTATCTGAAGGCCTTAGTAATCATAATTTTAATTGTTCTATTGGTCGGATTTAAAGAATTAGATAAGGCATAATGTTGTGTTTTCGACAATAAGCGAATAATCAAATTCGGTCAACACTGAAATAATATAAAATTGACTAGAAAAATTATGGCTAAAAATATGGGAAGGATACATAGTTGATCAAATTTATAATACACGTGGTATCCCGTATACAGCAAAAATTTTGCACTCAATAAAACAAAAATTTATGCTTAAATACGAAATAAAGTCTTTTTGAATATATATATATAAGTGTAACTTAGAATGAAAATATAATAGAAAAAAATAAAACAATAAATTTATTTTCTATAAATATTTTTAGAAACAGTATAAGATATTCTACGATATAAATACTATTAATTTTTAAAACTGAATTAAAAAATGGGTTGGTATAGAGACATTTTATGTACTATAAAATGAAAAAAAAAAATTTGTCCCGACACCTAATTTACTATGTGAAAATCGCTGTCAAAATGTAAAAAAACATGTAATATTTGCGATAAAAATCACCTTCTATAAGGATGTTTTTTGTAATTAAAACTGCCATAACTTTTTCAAATATTAACAAATCAAAATAATATATTTTTATATTGAAACCTTAGGTCATTTCCTTTCGTTTGATATCATTTTTAGCTTCGATGCGAAGCTGAGAAGGTATTGGTTTTACTATGATGTGTTTTTTTTTTTTTTTTTTTTTTTTTTTT